GTTTCCCTATGGCTCTACCCCCACCCGGCATCCCTACATCAGGGCAGGAGAGGGAAGGGGGGGGACAGGAATAACAAAAATGAATGGATGGAGGTGGCTGTCAGCACCCCACATCACAGCCATGGGGACACAGAGCCACTGAACACCCCTCTCCCCCCAGCTCTGGATTTCCTGGACACTTGTCACAGTGCCCAGAGCAAACCGGCCTCTCCTCTGGCTTCTGAAATTCAGCCCAGCTTCTTGCACAGACCCCCCCTGGACTTCCCCCCAACCCCATCCTTCCTCCCTCCCTCCCTCAGCACCCCCAGGGCCTGGGGTATTATCAAGGTGATGCCCCCTCCATCCCTGCAACTGCCATACATGGCCCTTCCCCAGGGAGAGTTGGGGGGTCGGGGGGGTTTTTTTAGTTTTCAAATCAATCTTGCTTAAAAAAAAAAAAAAAAAAAAAAAAGAAAAAAAAAAAAGAAGAAAAAACCAGCAAAAAACAGGTTGAAGGTTTTTTATTAATTTAAAAATAATAAAAAAAAATACCAAAACAAAAACAAAATCACTTTTTCAACACCAGCTGTCCCTGCCTTTTCTCTCTCCTGGGAAGGATGTCCCTGGCTGGGCACTGAGAATGGGGGAGACAACCCCCCCTGTGCTACAGTGTCACCAGTGGGGACTGCCCCCCCCCCAGGAGCTCCCCCAAGTCCCACGCTCTGCCTTCCCAAACCACTGCTGCCATCCCCAAAGAGGGGGGCACAGGGAAGGGGAGACCCCCAGCACCCCCAAAGCCATGGAGGTGCTGTCCCAGCACAGCAAGGACCCCCCTGTGCCAGGGGGTACAGCCCAAACCCCATCTTTGTCCCCTCACAAAATCTCACAGCCTGCAAACCGCCCCATCCCCACCCATGTGATGAGCCCCCCAGGCCTCAGCACTGTTGGGACACTCAGGGGCTGCCAGGCTTTTGGGGAAACCCTGTGCTGGGAGTGATGCCCTCTGACTGTCCCCCACTGCAGAAGGGCCACCAGCCCAAGGCCACACAACAAGCAACTAGGGTAACAACCCCCAAAATGGGAACACAGCAGATCTGGAGATGCCAGGAAGGGCTGGGGGGCTCAAAGCACAGTAGCAAAGCACCCCCCCCCCCAGGGATGGAGAGACCCCCAGGATGGCACAACCTCCAAGGAGAAAAGGCTAAAAAAAATCCCCCATCTGGGGCTACTCACCTGCTCCAGCAGCACACAGAGCACCCGAGGAGGGACGTGAGGCTGGTGTGTGTTTAGGGGGGTACAGGAGGGTGGGGGTGTTAACAGGGTGCAGCTGGGTCCCAGGGGCTGCAGATGGGGCAGCGGGTGGGAGGTGCTGAGCGGGAGGGATGATGAGTGCCAAAGGGGTCCCCCCAGCTGGGCCATATCCTGAAAATGCAATTAGTCCCCAGGGTGTTTCTCAGCCCCTCAGCCCCACCCAGGGGTGCAGGATGGTTCTTTGATGGCTCTGCTCTGGTGCCTGGTGGTTTGCTCAGAGTGCTCCCAGTTATCCTACTGGAGGTGGCACTGGGGGGACCCCACCCCAGATCCTGCTGTATCCACCTCAGCACCCCCGAAGCAGGTTTTGAGCACTCATTTTTCCCCCCTGAAAAAGCAAACCCACCAAGGAAAACATTCGGGGGGGGGGGCTCCCTACAGACTAAGGTGCCTCTGGAGCAAGGATGGAAGGGATGGAGTCTGTGTGGCAGAAAGTTTTTGGGCTTCCCCCTGCAGTTTGGGGAGAATATTCACCAGGAGAGCAAAGTTTCCATGGGGCAGCCCCCGGGGACACACCACGGGGGTTGAGGGGATGTTCCCCGTAAGCTCTGGGTCCCCCCTGGCTGCCTCTGGAGTTCCCCTCGGTGTTTCTCACCCTCCCACTCATCCGAGAGGTGCCACCGGCTTTGTGTCCCCCCCTCCCCCGCGTGTCGTTGCCGGTGTGCTGTGGGGACAACCCCGGCCACGTGTCCCCAGCCGTGACACCCCCCGGCTGGCACGGGAGGGGCTGGGGAAAGCAGCGCTAATCTCTGGGGGTGGGATAAGGGAAAGGAGGGGGCGTGTTCCCCCCAGGGGGGCAGGGACAGGTTACAGTGCTCGCGTCTGGAGGTGGGAAGCAGCGGGGCTTCCTCGTGCCTTCCTCTTTCTGTTGATGGCAGCGCTGGAGAGGGACGGAGGGGGTGACAAAGGGGAGAGGGACAAGGGGCTTCCTTCGCTTGGAGATAAAGAAAGCAGCCCGGTGATGCTCAATGGGATAATCGATAGCAAACCAGCGGGCTTGGGGTGGGATTCGCTTTTGACATTAAACCGTGTCCTGCTGCTGCTCTTCCCACTGAGACCCCCCCCTTTCCCACTGCCTCCCTGGAGGCAAAGGAACATCCTCCTTCTGTGGCACCACTCGGCCCCCCCAGACCTCCTTTGGGGCCAAAGGGTCCCCTGGCAGGGGCCAGGGGGTGTCAGAGGGAGCACGGGGCTGACACAGACCCTGGAGTTATCAGCTCCTCCAGCAGCCCCTCCTTGTTCAAGAAGGAAAGATCCTGATCCAAGGCCACTTCACTCAGGAAGCACAGGTGCTTGGCTGCTTGTAGCTCTTTACTGCAGATTGGAATAGGTTGCTCCTTCCATCCAGGACCCCATAGGAGTCCTCCTGCACTGCCGGCCCCGGTAGACGATTCCATCCCTGCCCACCAGGTCAAACACGCCGGGCTGGGAAAGAGAGAGGGGGATGGCTGGAACTCTGGGCTGCATTCAGCATCCCTAAGCCAACCTCCCTGCTCAGCTCTTCCGGGGGGAACTGAGGCACGGATCCCCCCAGGACGCTCAGCATCACCCTCCCCGCCTCGGCTGCCCCAGCCTATAATCCCATCTTCATCATCCCTACCTTGCTGGGGTCTGGGAGGAGGGGCTCCATCGGCTGCACTGGGCAGATGCTGGTGTGCCGGCCCCCACAGTACATGGGGGATCTGCGGGAATACCCCTCTGCCTGCTCCCTGTGGGGTGGGGCACAGGGATGCTCAGTGCTCAGCACCGTGTTTCACCCTGCTATGCCAGGGAGGGGGACAGCGGGGGCTCCCTGGGGGGCTCCCGGCTCCCCTCCGGCTGCTGCAGGAGACCCGTGCCCGTCCAGCCCTGCAGGGATCTGCCCTCTCCCCGCAGCCGCGGACGGATCCGCGGCCACGGCAGGACCCTGTGCCCTCCGCAGGGGACGCCAGGAGGCAGGAGCTGGGCTGTCCCAGCCGCAGGGCTTGGTTTTGGGAACTCATTCACAGGAGGCACCCGAGCCCCCACCAAGCCTGAGCTCAGGCAGAGACCAGACACAGCTCGCCACATGTGGCTTCAGTGCCATCGAGACCGACCCGGGCTAGACAGGGTGGGGCTGTAAAACCTCCTGACCCTCCGCAGCCCCTCTCTCCTGCCGGCGCCCCCGGGCCCCTCCGCCCCCACCCAGAGAAGAGCTCTCCTTGCTGGGCAGGGCTCCCCCACACCCCCAGGGCCCACGTCCCGACCTTTGGCCGCGCTCCTGGTACTGTTTGACGATGGGGGGCAGGCGGCCCGTGAGGCCGGGGGACGGCGGCGGCGTGTAGGGGATGATATCGGAGCGCCTGGAGCGGGCAGGAGGAGATCCGGGCGGAGAGAGCCCAGGGAGGGCAGGAGACCCGGGTGGAGAGGGCCTGGAGAGGGCAGGAGACACGGGTGGGTGACAGGGGCCAAACGAGCCATCCCTGCCACAGCAGGGCACTGCCAGCATCTCCCTGCCCCTGTCCCACCTGCGCACCCCCCGAGGCACCGGTGCCGCTGATACTCACGGGCCAGGAAACTGCATGGTGAAGGGCTGGTCTCTGGGCAAGAAGTCGGGAGAGGACACCTTTAGGAGCTTCCTAAAATGCGAAGAAAAGGGCTGGGTGAGCTCCGGGGGTGATGCAGCCCCGCCTGTGCAGGCAGCAGCCAGTGCCAGGCACATCGCTGCAGGGAGTTACGGTGTTCCTAGGGGGAATCGCGGGGTGCTGAGCGTGGTTTCTACCCCACCCCAGCACAGCCCAACCCACTGGCTGGTTACAAAATAAAGGAGGGCGATAGGGGAGGTGGGTTATTTTCCGGGGGAGAAGCTCCAGCTCATACCAGGCAACAGTGAATCTGCAGGGAAGTGCCCAAAAGCCTCGGGTCCTGCTGGTGTCTCCAAAACGCTTGGGCTGCTCGTGGCTGCCCAGGCCAGGCAGGGAGGTGAGGTGGCACCACACCAGCCCTCACACCCGTGTCCTCACTTGGTCAGTGCTCAGGACCCCCCTGAGCCATGCCAGGAGAGCAGGTCATGCCCGGCTCTGGCACTGTCACAGCCCTGCCTGGGGGGATGACCTGCCATCCCCTGTCCCCTACACTCATCAGGAAAGTTTGTACTCACATCCCAGAGGGCTCCATCCTGAAGCTGCCCCTTCCTTGTGCCTCCTTTGCTGTCTGGGACCTGCTACCACTGGGAGGAGACAGCACAGCTCCATCACCAGCATCCCCACGGTTCGATCAGCAGATAAATGGGTCTGATGCCAGGGCCCCACATGGGCCCTGTGGAGGAAACAGGACCAGTGCTGTACCCAAAGCCATCGCTGTTCCCGTGGCACTCACCTGTCAGTCCCAGCCACACTCTCAGCTGGCATCCAGAGGCTCTGTGATGCTGGGTGGCCTCGTGCTGCCTTCGTTGGGATGGGGGCGTGGATGCCAGGGGATCCTGGATGCACTCTCGGGGCAGTGACACTGCCATCCAAACTCTTTGTCTGAGCAAGCAGAGGGTGTTTCAGCCCCAGCTCTTGCCCCCAAAACTCCACCCCCTTCTCTCAGTGAAGCTCCCTGTGCTGCTGTGAGCTTGGGTTTAAACCAGGCCTTGGTCTAAGGGCAGCACAACGGTGGTGCAGACCCCAGGGGAGGGGGCATCCAAGAGGGAGCACCCAGGGGGCTGGGAAGAGTCTACCTTAGAGAAGCTCATCTCAACTTCTTCGTCCTTGATCCGCTCCATGTCGCTCATCTCAGGGGGAGAACCCAGCGGCCTGGGAAGAGACTCTGCCTTGGAGATTCTCATCTTGATCTCTTCGTCCTTGATATGTTTCACGTCCTTCATCTCAGGGGGAACATGCAGGAGGCTGGGAAGAGCCTCTGCCTTTGAGATGCTTATCTTGGTCTCCTCATCATCCCCGCTCTGATCCACGTCATCCCATCCCACGTCACTTTCCACGAAGGACACTCGGGGGCTGCTCGTGACCCCATGCAGCAAGTTCTTCCCTCTGCTCCATGCCCTTGAGCTTCGAACAGCCGCTCCCTTGGAGATGCCCATCTTGATCTCTTCATCCTGGATCTGTCCCGTGTCATTCCATCCCGTATTGCTTTCCATGAAGGACACTCGGGGGCTGCTCACAGCCCCATGGGGCAAGTTCTTCCCTTTGCTCCATGCCTTGGGGCCGGGAAGAGCTGCTCCCTTGGAGATGCCCATCTGGATCTCTTCATCCTTGATCGGCCCCATGCTGTTCCGTCCCATGTCGTTCCATCCCATGTCACTTGTCATGAAGGAGACTCGGGGGCTGCTCGTGACCCCAGGTGGCAAATCCTTCCCTCTGCTCTGTGCCCCGTCTGTGGCTTTTGAGGGCGCAGGGCTGGGGGTCCGGGGATCCCGCTGTCTTGGTGAGGATGCCCTGAACCTGTCCGTGAGGACAACTGGAAGAAGAGAACAGGGGGAACTCTCTGGGGTTGGGGGAGCCCTGGGGAACACAGCTGGGGGAAAACCCAGCAGTCCACAGGTGCCCTGTCTGCCCCACTGTGCCCCTCCCACCCACTGGATCCCCTCCCCAGGCCTGCCCAGACGTACTTTCATTGCCAATGACGATCAGCCCCTGGTCCTCCCAGGGGTGTGAGCGCGTGCCAGGCCCCTGCTGCCAGTCCGGGGGGACCTGCTGCCAGTCTGGGGGGACCTGCTGCCAGTCTGGGGGGACCTGTCCGTCCTCGCCCATAATGTCCTTCATGGAAGACTGGGAAGGAGACAGTGGGATGGCTGCAACATGGGGCTACATTCAGCATCCCCAAGCCAGCCTCCCCACCCAGCTTTTCCTGGGGAAACTGAGGTATGGATCCCCCTAGATGCTCAGCACCACCCTCCCATCTTGGCTCCCTCTCAGCCTTCTCAAGGCTGAACAGGCCCAGCTCCCTCAGCCTTTCCTCAGGAGACAGATGTTCCAGGTCCCAAACCATCTTTGTCACCCTCCACAGGATCCAGAGGAGCACAAACCCCCAGCATTGCTGCCCATCCCCTGATGTGGGGGGACAGGGTGCACTGGGGGTGCAGTCACATCCTGGAGCAGGGCCCGGGTGTGCTCAGGGATGTACCGTGACAGTGTCCATGACAGGGTCTGTCAGCTCGTTGTGGAGGTTCTCTGCCATATCCTCCAAGTTTGCCTGGAGTGGGGCAAGGAGAGGGACAGGAGTCAGAACACAGGAGCAGGATTTAAAAGGAACATCTACAGATTAGCTCAGGCACAGGGCAGAGGGACTCTGGGCAGGGCTGTGCCCAGGGGCTGTGGCTGTATTGCACAGGTGGATCTTTATCTCCCCTCCTTCCCAGCACCCACTTTACTTTTCTGGTGGCTGTTTAGTTCACGAGTGCTTCAGCATCCCTGGCTGAGGCAGGCAGTGACCTCTACCACTGGTCTGACCTGCAGGCAGAGGTGCCCTTCTGCCCTCCCTGGGGCAGTGCTCTGGGGAGGGGGTGGCTCTGGGTGGGTTGGCACATTCCACTCTGGGGACACCCTTCCCACTCTTCTCTCCTGGTGCCCTTCACACTGGGAGCCACCAAGGGCTGTAGAGCAGGATGGCAGGGCAACACAGTAAGGGGCAGCTCCCAGGGGCACCGCTGGCAGCTCACCGTGTCCAGAATCTCCTGCATCTTCTGCATGTTCTCCTCCATGTGGGACTGCTGCTCCTTCACCTCGTTGATCTCCACACGGAGCTGCTCGCAAAGAGCCCTGACCTAGGAGAGGGGGATGGCAGGGTGAGCCCCAGGGCAGGGTTGCTGGGGAGCAGGTCCTTCCCCCCACTATGATCTGCACAGAGCCAGGGGCAGCACAGGGCACAGGACAGGCTGGCACAGGATGTTGCTGGGCCTCCATCACATCTTCAGCTACCAAGAAGGGGCAGCAGCTGCCCAGTGGTGCAGACCCCAGAGGAGGGGGCTGGGAAGAGCCTCTACCTCAGCGATTTCTCTTTCATTGGCTTCCGTTTTCTGCTTTAACTCCTCAAGGTCAGCAGCCATGGAGGCAGCTGGGGGGATTGTCGGGGTCCCCTCCGGGGGTTCCCCGCTCTCCTGGACGACCAGATCCCGCAGGCCCAGGTTCACAAGCATCCCGTTCAGCAGGTTGCGCAGTTGCTCGAAGTTGATGGGATCAGTCTTGGGCATCCCGATGGCCGAATCCAATATCTGGCCCAGGGTGAGCTCTGCCATGGCTGCTGACCTGTCCAAAAACACAGACCTGCTGTGAGCAACGGCCTTTTGTGCTACTGCTCCAGACAGGAGCAGTGGGATGGCAGGTGATAGGAGGTGTGGCAGGAGGTAGAGCAAAGGTACGCAGCTGACAGGCTCCTTCCCCTGCGGTCTCCCCCTCGTTCCTTGCTACATGTGGCTCTGTTTATGGTGTCCCCTGTTTCAAGGTGATGGCCCACCCTGGCACAGGTCACCCATTGTTACACAGCAGCAGCCCAGCCCTCTGTGGAACATCCCCATTGTCCCTCACTGCTGGCATGCCCAGGTCCTGGCAGCCGGTGGAATCCATGTGCCGAGGCGCCTCCAGCTTTACCATTTTCAGCCCCAAAATGACCCCGGGGACAGCTCACATTGGGCAGCCCATGCCCCAGGTGCCCCTTGCAGGGTGAGCTGTGCCCTGTGGAGAGGTGATCCACGTCCTCACACACACTGGGCCGTTCCGGAACACTCTGGGAGATCAGGCCCAGAGAGGTTGCACTGCCAGCTGTTCACTTTTTTGAGATCTCAAAAGCATGACAGAGTTTCCCTTCTCCTTTAAATGTGGGAATGGTGGAAGGCTGCTGCTGCTGGCATAGACACAGGGATTTCCAGCACCTCGCTCCAAAGCAGAGAGCCATACAAGCAGGGAAAAGCAGATAAACACGTGCTTCCAGACAAGCCTAGGAAGTAAAGCACTTGAATGCTGGGAAAAATCTTTTGAACCAGAGTGACCCATCAGACAAGTCCTTACAAAAACCATCAACAAGAAACTCTCTTATGAACTTGCAGATTCAACCATCAGGCAGTCAGAGTGCTGACATCTCCCTGTTCCAGCAAGGCTCTGGAGCCTTGAGCACAGGAGGGCTGGGTGAGCTCCGGGGGGATCCTGGCTCCTGGGCCAGGCATGTCCTGCAGGGAATTACAGTGTTTGCAGGGGGAATCACAGGGTGCTGAGCCTGGTTTCTCCCCCACCCCAGCACAGTCCAACCCACTGGTTGGTTACAAAATAATGGGGGAAATGGGTTACTTGTGGGTTCCCACCTGGGAAAAAGCGCCAACTCATATTAGGCAACAGTGAATCCACAGAGGGAAGTGCCCAAAACTCACCACTGTGGTGCCCAGAGGCACCCACAGCAGCCCAGTCCCATGGGAACTGGGACAGGTGGCAAGGCCAACATGGGGCTGGGTGCTGTGGCTGCAGGAGCTGGGGGGTCTCTGTGGGGTGGGCAGCCTTTGCCTTTGGGCTCTCAGGGGGTACTCGAGTTTGGCCCCATGAGCTCAGGGACTGGGGACAGGCTGAGGGGGCCTGGGTCTGCCCTTGGTGCTGACCAAGCAAGGACACAGGTGTGAGGGCAGGTTGGGATGGTGGGTGTGGGTGTCTGTGTCCTTTACCTCACATCCCTCCCTGCCCTGGGCAGCCACTGCGTTTCAGAGGGGCTCCATCCTGAAGCTGCCTCCTTGAGTGCCAGGAACCTGCTACCAGTGGGAGGAGACAGGACAGTTACATGAGCATTCCCAGGGATTGTTTGCTGGCTAAATGGGTCTGGTGCCAGGGCACCACACAGGCCCTGGCTAGGACAGCCAGAGGGAATGGCTCCAGTGCTGTCCCCATGGCACTCACCTGTCAGTCCCACACTGTTGCCCAGAGGGTCCGTGCTGCTGCGTGGCCTCGTGCTGGCTGCACCCTCGGGACGGAGGTGTGGGTGCTGGGGAATCCTGGATGCAGGACCTGGCACTTGCCTTTGTTGGATTTCAAAAGGTTCCTCCCCAGCCCCAAGGGTTTCGGAGGGGCTGTGGTGGGATGTCAATCCAGGCTGGCCCTCAGGGGGCTCCCAGCTCCTGCTGTTTTTCCCACCACCCTGAGCAAGGCCCTTTTCTGAGCAGAGGGCACACACTGGACCAGCTGAGGAGCTGCCCTGGCTCTGCCTATGCCAGGTCCTGCCTCCCTGTGGGACGTGCAGGGAAGAGGAGAGCTGAGCAACCTTGGCAGAGGCCCTGGGGTGTGCAGTGGCTGGAGGTGCTGGGGGCTGCCAACAACTTTGTTGAGCTTTCACTTCTGTATTAAACCTGCTTTTACCAGTGATTCTATAAGTGACCTTAAAACATCCATTCACCACAGTGACCCCAGGGACAGCAGCACAACCCTCTGCTCACTGGTGCTGTGGTTCCAAGGTTTCTTCCCAAATACAGCCCAGTTAAAATAGGCTTGAAAGGGCCAACAGCCCTCAATGAGCCCTGGCCTTGCTCCTGGCAGGTCTGACAAGCAGTTTGAAGGGGAGAGAAGAGCAATACCTCTCACATTTTTAACACTGGTTTTCAGGATGGAGATCATGGTCTGGTACTGGCTTGGAACAAGAGGGCACACAAACGTCTACAAGGACTTCACACGCTTCAGTTGATCCTTTCAATACTTGCAGCACAGCAGTGTTACCCTACCAGGCTGAGGAGCCACACTGTGGCCACAGAGTACAGCTGGGATTTGTTTGTGGTACTCTGAAAATGCAGGAAACCCATCAACAGCTTTGAGACCTCATCCAGCCCTGCACACCCCTCGTGGGATGTGGCTTGGAGGTTTAATCCACGCTGATCCAACCACTCCATGCTGAGGTACCTTTGTCTGCCTGGTGTTCAAAGCCTGTCCTGCTCAGTCACTGCCAGCCCCTTGGCCCCATACATATTTTAGATGCTGGAGTGGAAGAGAAAGGTGTAGAACAAGGATAAGCAAAACTAAACAGTTCTTAGGCTGTTGAAGCAACTGCTTCCAGCAGCTTTTATTTGTTCCTCACATCAGCAGGCTAGAAAGCGGTGTAGGTTTTACTGGAGTGTGTTTGTCTCATCAAGGGGGAAGATCACAGTTTGTGAATTTATCCTTATATCATCCTGGAGACAAAGCCCTCCACCTGCATCCTGTGCTCCCTTCCTCAAGTGTCCCCTCCACCCAAAAATTAGTATCACTCAAGACAAGAGTGATCAGCAAGTCCTACTTCTCTGTGGGAGAAGGCTGCAAGCCAAGTGAGCCTGGTTACACCAACAGCCCCACTGAACACACAGAGCAGCTGCTCAGAGGGTACAGCATTCACAGGAAGCACCGAAATTGAAAAACCTCACACTTTTTATTGCAGCTCGGTGTTAGTGTTTTGGAGAGCACAGCTGCATTAGAAGCAGATATTGTTCCAACTTCCCTTCCCCACGAGACTCCGCCACAAACTCGTCAGCCCCAGGCAACTCCAAAAATTGTGCCTGGCTTTGCAGTGCAGACAAATGTTCAAGTGAGGACCAAGACCCTCATGTGACTTGTCACTGAAGAACAATAATGATCCAAAAGCTTGCAAAATGAAAAGGCCAACACATTAACTAGCATTCCCTGCTCTGCTGGGAGACACGTGAGCTTGTTCCCAGCTCCCTGACACAAGGATGTGAGTAGCCCTGCGAAAGGGTTGCCCTAAGCTGTCCTCTTGGGATGTTCCGCTAACTTAGTTCTGATGAAAGTCCTTGCTCTGCTGTGCAGGAGATGAGAGGCCACTCACTTGGCAAGGAGCTGCTGTGCTGCTCAGCTCTGCCAGCAGAACGTTCCCTTCTGTGCTCTCGGGTGAGCCACAGGCAGAAACAACCCCAAAGGCTGCTCTTGCTTGCCCACACAGCAATGAACAGTCTCTATTCCCTTCTCATAAGCTGACAGCTACTTCTGTTTAGCTTTTCTTTCCACCCCTACAGGGCAAGAGATATAACACACTAAAAAAAAAAAAAAAAAAAAGAAAAAATCATTAAAGGAACTTAAAAATTCAACACCACCTCTCTTAATTACGGTGTAACCCTCCCCATTGCCAGTGGCCTCTTCTATTCAACTGTAAAGTGCTGGTCAGGTTGACTTTTTTTCTATTAGATCTCATGGCTCAAAGACCCTGAAAGCCTCCACGCTCCTACAAAAATAAACAGTTGTGTTATGCCTATATTTTATGGTATTGCCTTTTCATGCACATTTCCTTCTCCCGTGGAACCCAGGACGGGGGCAGAGCCGGGTCTAGTCATCCACAGTGATGTTGCGGAAGAGATAAGCCATGGACTCGCCGTTGTGGATCCGCCGGATGGCTTCCGAGAGGATCAAACTGATATCCACAGTCTTTATCTTGGGGCACTGCAGCTTCTGCACCTCATGAGGAACTGTGTTGGTCACCACCACCTATGGATGGAAAGGAAAGAAAGTTGTGCCACTGGAACACTCGCTCTCCCCGAGAAGCCACCCTGGATTAGCTCCAGGAGGGGTGTGCCCCTGCTGTTCCACAGTTCAGGGGGAGAAATCCTTGTGGGATTGAAATAAATGGTCTCCCCTACATGACAGTCAATCTGTTGAGGGGACCAGCATAACCAGCACTCTCCAACAGCCACCTCCACACAGGCTGATGGGTCCACTCAGTTCACAGGATCTGACATGTCTGTTACTAAGGGTGAGGTGTGAAATCTTGTCCTCTTGATGCCCCAGCAGCCCCTCAGCAGCTGGGGGAGAGGGGCAGGGAGAAGGGCTGCACAGTGAGATGGCAGCCCCACACCACCAGCTGCAGTAAGGGAAGTGTCCATGCAGGGATGACTAATTCCTGCATTAGGGAGAAAACATACTCAGGGAAGCAGACCTGATCTGAACAAGTATTAATCACACACTCTTTTTTTGTTCCACTGAAGAACCAGCTAACTGAAAGCACCTGATTACAGCAGTGATTTCAGAGATGAGCTGTGTGGCAGGGGAAGAACATGTTTGTGAGTTTGGATGTCATCAGAGCCAGCCCCTCCTCTGCAGAAGGCAGGCTCACCTCGTCGATGGAGGATTCCTCTATGAGACGGGGGGCATCTGCTGACAGGAGCCCATGAGTTGCCATCACAAAAATCTTGTAGGCTCCACGCTCTTTCAGGATCTCTGCAGCAGCTACAAAGCTTTCCACGTCATCAATGATGTCATCCTGAGGAGAAACAGAAGGAACTTCAAAACCAGAAGTTTACAGTGCCTGCAGGGCAGGAGTGGATCTGCAAGGTACTGCAGCTTTGGCCATGCACACAGATGAAAAATATAATCCCTGTCTACTTCAGCTGCTGGTGAGAAGCAAGGACACCCAGGTGCATGACTTTAATCTGCAAATGCCATTTCCCTATTTTAGGGACCCTTTTTCTAGTGTGGAGAACAAATACTGTGTCTTGGAAACAAATTAGTCCCTGCACATGCACACACACACACAGAGCTTATCATCAGCAAGGTGTTTTTTCATGGGGGTAGGAGCTGCATGTTGATTGCTTACACTGCAGCCTGGCACAGCAAGTATGAGAAGCTCAGCAAGTTTTCTTTTTCATTTGTTGGGGTTTTTTACGTTTTTTTATTTTTTTAAACACTTCAGGAGTTTATTCTGCATGTCCTGGATTTATTCAGTATTTGCAGACATCTGATATTTGTAGAATTAAGGGAGCAAGGAGATTTTAGGGCTTAAAGTGCTGAAGTACAAAGGGTTTTCAACAGCAAGTTGAAATAATCGAAGCCACCAGCAAAACTGGAGAAAACAGTGTCTAACAATCATGTTCCCACCCCTACACCAGCAATCCCCCTCCTACTCTCAGGGATAGAGCAGCTCAAGGTAAGATGCTGTGAGGAAGCCACCCCCAATTGCCCCTGTCACACTCATACCACTATGATGGCAATTCTTCCTCCAACGTCTCCAACCACAGTTATTGGCGGTTTCTCCTTGGCCATCATCACTAAAGAAGAAGAGAAAAAAGGACTCCAGGTCAGTGAGGTTTGAATCAAACACCAACAGCTCCACCACACAAGAGGCTGAACCCTTAAACATCTTATATTGGTGCACAGACACAGATGTGCTTTACATGATCCTGACACCCACCTCAGTGGGAAAGCACTGGTTTAACCATCTTCTTCCTCCTTAAATGAACAGCACTGCTGCACAATGAGGAGACTCTCTGTTTCTGTGGGGACCTCATACTGACCTCAGAGACAGCAGGTAAATCCAACAATCTAACAGGTCCCTGTGCAAAGAGAGCTACAAAGCAGCACCTGGTTTATGGGACATGGTGGTGACTTTCTTTTTCCCCCAGAACAAGATTTGAAAACAGGTCACGATTGGATGATCCCACAAATGGGATTCTCTGACCAGCACCTCTCAAAGGGCAGGTGCTTTACAAGCTGCAGCTTTTCACCTGTTGGACTCAGCAATCCATTTGCAGGATCAGACTTGCACTGCAGCTCTTGCTTTCTCACATCAACAAACACACAAGGCTCTTTCAGAGGGTCTAAGAACATTAATACCACCTGCTCAGGCAAAGAAAGCTTAAGGAAGTTTGCAGAAGCAAATTCGCTGATTTTTTTTTCTTTTTAAGTGGATTAATGGAAAGAGCAGGACAAAATCCAGTGGAAACACAGTTGTACAAGCTCAGTGCAACCAGCAATTGGATCAAAAGGATCTGACAAGGTAGCACTGACAAGCTGTGCTACCTGACACAGTGAAGAGATGTACTAGGAAATAAGGTTCCACTCCCTCCTGACTCTGCTTTTGCACTGACATGGTTTATGCCAAACTGCATCCTGCCAAACTTCCAGCAGCAGTATATACATAAAGAGATATGAACCAGGATGCACTGAGAGTGTCCAGATGTAATACAGCCTTCAGACTTACATCAAACAGCAACTGGCCTCTGATACGGGCCAGGGACTTGCTGTCCATCAGCCAAACCTGTCACTGCCACAGGGTGCTGGTTTGTACAGAACAAAAACTTCCAGCATGGAAAGAACACTGTGGTGGGCATACAGGTGACAATCTGGACTGATCTAACCACTGAAGCAAAGAGGAACATCCAGCATTTTGTAACACTTACCTGGCCCATCTCCACACCCCCCCTCCCAGATCTGATGCTCTCTGTGGGGAGTGCAGCAAAGTGTCCTACCAAGGCACTTGGTACCCCTCCTTTTGTAAGCTCAGGTCTTGCCAGGATTCTGACCACAGAGGCTTCTCAAGTGCTGAGGAGTTTCAGACAACCTACATAGCAAGACTTCTCTGCTTTAAGATAACCTACTTTGATGTAATACCTGAGCAGCAGGAGAACAGAAGCCATTGCCCATCAAAAAGCCTGTCTGAATATTGATTTCTGCCCTCCTGGATCAAAATAGTTCTGCATGAAACTCCACATCCTGCACAGCAGGCTGATCCAGTAGTATTCCCACATCTCATCAGTGCCTGGGAATGCTTAGAGTGCAAGCACAGCTGAGTGAGTGAGTCACACTGAGGGATGTGATGAAAGCAATTTTAAGGACCACAGCTTTGAAGATTCATGTGTAGAGCTGTTCTTCACATACACAACCTACTCCACAGACTGGTTCTCCATAAACCTACCAAAACTGTATAAAAGGTGTCCAATAGTTCTGTTTTGACCAAAGTTCCATCACTCATTGCCAGGTTTTGCAGTTAAAGTCACAGCTACCTTGGACTGAAGAGTTAATAGCTCTTCATGGCACAGACTCCCCAGCCTCCCTTGCATGGTTATTTGAGTCTCCTATTGAATGCAAAGTCACCTCTAATCCTGAAGGAAAAACATTCTTATGAGAAGGATGAGTATTTGCAATAAATGCAGATTAAGCATCACAAGAGATAAGCAGATCATAAATTTCAATTACAGGCACTACCGACCTGCTTAGATTAGTTATTAGTTTATTATCTAGTTTGGACAGTAATAAAGCTCCTGGTGGGAGCTGGGAAGTATCAAAAGGATTCCACCTGGCTGCCATCCCATCCTCCATGTGTATCCACAGATGAGTGCCATCTCTGGTTACAACAGCCAGGTTAGGGGGAATCTTTCTGCAAAAATGGTGAACAGAACTAGAGAGCTGAAATTCAACACTATTTTACTCACAGAGACATGAAGTTTGAGCAAATCAGTATCCTTCTATTCCAAAAAGGAAGCAGACACTTGCTATGCTTAAAGGCTAACATGGCAACTAGCAACATTATCAGTGCTTTGCATCTCTGTTTTTAAAAAGCTGTATTTCGATTTTGTTTTATTTTTAAAGAATGGTAGGCAACGTGTCGACCTACCCGGATCTTAAAGAGATGTTCTCCCTTTTTCTTGTTCAATTTTCTCTGCAAAAAAAACAGAAACAAAAAATTGCAAGCCAAAGATCCACCCACAACCACATCAAATCTCAAGAGAACTGCTCCGACGTGATGAGAGTTTACACAAAGGTTACTGCAGCCAGTTTCTTCTTCCAAATCTTTGGACATATCAAGATGTGCAAGTCAGAACTGCTACGAGAAGGTGGCTTGAAAAATGATTCAAATAATAAAGGGCATTTTCCTTCCAGACTGAAAACCTCTGTTTATATGTAGACAAAAGAGGGTAACAGAAATAAGCCACAGTGGTACTTTTGCCTGGTGTAACCCCTTGGATCATGTACAAGTTCAGGTTAAAGAGTTGCTGACTTTTTTCTGGAGAGTCAGAAAAGATGCTTGTGGTATCTGTAGCTTCTGGAGGGGGAGGAGAAATAAAAGAGGGAAAAACCAGACCACCATTTTTATAAAACAAGAATATCAAAGAACACTTTCATTCTGATGTGTGTAACATATACTTAAGTACCACATGTTAAAGGCAAAATTATTACTGGCATGAGGAAACAGCATTCCCAGGTGTGTAAACCTGTTGCTGTAATTAAGCAGTTAAAAATGAGTTAAGAAACGCTAAAATAAATTCTGTTTGGAGCTGACAGTGTGCACTAAAGTGATAATCACCAAGAACTGTAAAGCTGCATTTACAACAGAGCCTGTGAGCAAAAGGCTGCTCAAAGAATGAACTGTTTTGTGTAGAGATAGCCCTGGAAGGACAGAAAACATCCCTGGGCCCAGCCTAAACACAGGAGAGACGGGGGTAGGGAAGGAGGAATGGACCTATGGTCACTCCAGTTTTCCCCCCCAAACTCTCTTCCTTCATGGCAGTTTGCTGAGCCCCAGGTTTGAACCATCAGCTCTGAATAAAGTACTGAATTCCAGAGCCACTGAAATGGTTTAACAGATGGTGTTCCGCTCTTTTTCTCTCCAGGACGAGGAGACATGCAAAGAGTCCACATGCATTTAAGGCACAGCCCTGAGCCAGCTGCAAGCTCTGAGACACAAAAGCCCACAATCAAAGGGAATAACCCCAGAGTGATGTCCTGTCTCAAAGGCTCTGCTTTCAGGAGTGACGTGGGCTGTTGCTGCTGCTCGAGCACAGCATTTTAAGTGCAATTAGAAGCACTTCTGGCATTTTTCTGTTGTGGCTCCACACGAATCACAATATCACATCAGGCCACACTCACAGGACAATAAATAAGCCATTACACTGCACAGCACTCATTAATTAGAGGCACATGATCTCTCCCAGAACGGGGAGACAAGGTGCATGCCAGGACACAGGAGCCCAGCCAATTCACTAGGAAGCCCATGAGGAATGGCACAAAGCATAAGCCATCGCTGTGGGGCTCTGGGGCTGCTCCCAGACACAGGTTTCACCTCTCTCCTGGCTGTAACACAACTGCCTGGAGCCTGAACTGCCCAGTCTAGGATGCTCCACAATAGTCTGCTTGTAGCCTGGAGCAGGATGCTCCACAGTAAGTCTCAGCCACTCTCCAGGAGTATCCCCACCTGCCTGATCCAGGCCAGGGTTCCTAAGCCAGGCAGACCCAGACTGGTTCTGTTTTGGCAATTAGAGGGTTTTTGGGACAGTTTTGGTGTAAGGAAGCACCCAGCTCTGGGTGAGCAGCACATGTCTGACCTTTCATACAGGGGCACAGCTTCACTCTGCCCTCAGAGCTCACACTACCAGGAATGCTGGTGATGGCACATGGCAGGAAGAGCTGATGGAGGATTTGGTATGATGTGACATTTGAGGTGGGAAGATGCTTTTCAAATGACTGAATTGGACAAGAAAGGAGGCACAGTAGAGAGGGTAAGTACAGACACTCACAGCACTGCCATCCCTACACCCCATCTGCATTTTCAGCTCTGTCTGGCAGAGCACAGCTCCCTGTCAGGCTGACACACAACCAGGATGCACTAGAAGCTTACAGACTGCTTTCAGACAGGGATTACCTCAGAATTCTGCACCTCCAGTAACAGAGTCCAGCTCACTCAAACCTGGGTATTTGTCAGGTTAGAAAACTGGACAGAAAAATCAACTTCCTACTGAGAGTTTTGGACAAGTTTGCCCCACAATCCACCCCACGACTGACAGCTACCAAGCCTCAGCTTGACTGTTTTACATTTGTGCCTTAGGCATGCAGGGAGGTCATTGGTCAAGTGCTGAGTTTGTGCAAGAGATAAAATAAGAAAGTGGTGATACACAGCAAATTAGTTTGTGTTTGGATAGCTGAGGACTGAAAACAATTTTCCCCTGGAATCATAACTAAACTGGACAAGGACACATTTCTGTATGAGCTACCATTCACAGGGCTCTCCAGCAGCACAAGCTCTCACAGCTGAGCTTCCTTGAAGTGACATATGGTTGGAAATAAAAACACAAAACCATCAATGCCTCGGTAGCAGACAAATGTCAGCTAGTGATATTTTGGAGGACAGCATCCTCTTCAGAGTAGGAGGGGAGGGGAAAAAGCAACCATGCAAATTCCTGTTCTGTTGGAAGGGCATGAAAAAAAATCCCCTTGTCAGAAGGGGGGGGCAATCAAGATGAAGTCCCACACTTCACTGCCAAACCCCACCTGGCCCTGAAGGCCCAAGAGGAGTTTCACCAGCAACATAAGCACTGTTTAACTGATTGTATTCTAGTGAGCAACGACTGGGGTGATGTGAAATGCCTGCAGTTTTACTTGCCTCCCCTCCACAAGCTGCCCACAAACTGGTTGGATGTTCTCCCTAAACTTCAAAAGAGGAGAGGCTTATCAGTAGCCCCAACCTCTGCTGGTGTAATTAAGTTTGGCTGCATGATGGAGAGCTCCTCACCACACACAGCAGCACACAGCCTTTCCCACGGTCACTGATCCCAACTTCTGTCCTACCACCACATACCTAGAAAGCTTAAATCCTCCGGAGAGAGAGAGAGAGGTATTTTAATTCTACTGTTGTTATTGGACTGCTGCAGGAAAACAAGCAATCCTGAAGATGGCATTTCTCAGAACACAGGTTTCGTCCTTTCTCCTTTGCTGTCTGCTCCCAAATCAGCAGCTTATCAATCAGTGGCAGGAGCTCAGGAAACAGCTCAGCAATGCTCTTGGAGAAACTATTCACCACAAACCTCAAAACCTTGTTAAAACAGATGCTGGAACATGATCACCTGGCTGCCAGGATGAAGAGAATTTCCAGCAGTGACAACGGCTGCAGCAGAAGGGGGAGATAAAGGCCAGCCCTCCCCTCCACAATGGAGCAGCAGCTCCCTTATTACCTGTACTTTTGCATTTCTTTTGTTTCATTAGCTCAATGAGTTCTGTTGCTGAGCACTGTAAAAGCACCACCTTTATCAGAGGTTTGTCAGTCTGACACTGTTGAGCAGGCACAGCCAAGGAGAACAATACTGATGCTCTGTATGGCCAGAAGGAGTTAAATAAAAACCTTCCCCTGTGACTTCTCCTACAGCTCGCTGATATCAACCTTTCCACGAGAAAAATTCCACTGGTCCCACTGCCATCAGGTTGGTTATAAACCAAGAGAAACTTCCCACCAAACTTCTTTTTTTCCCCCCCCAAGGGTAAGCAGAGAAACTTGATCTTACAGGGCAGCTCCAGGCCAGGGTGCACAGTTGCATTTTTGAGCATTGGAGGGGAGTGACGCCCGTCATCCATGTCCTGCTCCGTGCACTGAGCCTCCCCATGGATCACTGCCAGCCCCAGCCGCAGCCTCTCGGCGTAAGACTGAGCCCTGCAAGACAAACAGCCTGTCAGGAAGGAGCTGGGCTGGTGCAGCTTCACAGCCCAGCCCACCAAGTCTCTCCCAGAGCCAACAGCAAGCAAAAGCTGCACCTCTGTGGCTGTTCCCCAGCAAGAAACTTCATTGGAAGTGATTCTTCATTTGTCCTTAATATCCTAAAGTTCACTCTACCCTTTGGCTCCACCGTGGGGGCCTCCTGTATTCCTCCATTCTGAGGACAGTCAGGCACTGCTGAAACTCAAGCAGCAAGTCTGATCCTAACCCCAGGTGAACCCCTTTGCTCTGCAGCAGCAGACACCCCCAGAGTTTACTCCCACCCTCCCATACTTTCCCTGGTGTATTTCCCACCAGCTCAGGTATTTTCCAGTTTAATTTTAACCAGCTAGTAAAGCATCCATTTACCTTTTAGCTGCACCAGGAGATTTGGCTACAATAACTGCATTTCTGTAATCTGGAATCTGGATGTGATAAAAGGTTATTTAATTAAAGAAAGACCTACTTGCTAGTAACTGGGTTGATACATGGTTAAATAATCATGCCCACCCTCCTCCCCAGACCCACATCTTCATTCTTCATTTCTCTCTGAAAGAGAGAACGAGGCAGCTGCACTTGCTTTCAACACCAGTATTTGTGTATTCTGTAAAGGTGGGAATGTTCATGGTGTTTAACCCTCCCCATATGGGGAAGCCTTGTTCCCACCATGTGGGAATAAATCATCAACTTCTGCACATGGAGAATGAAACCTCTGTGCTCTGCCCCCAGCTCAGCATTCCCAAACTCAGCCCAAGACAAAGTCTATCAATAAATTCAGAGCAGTCAGAAATCCACCACTGCCCAAGGGTTAAGGGGAGGCAGTGGAACACAATTTTAAACGTGTTTAGAGGCAGGAGCACAAACAGCATCTCTGCAATGGCACTAACTCTACAGAGAGCAAGCTCCTCTCCTGATTGTGGTGGAGTTGAATTTCCATCCAGGTACAATCATACAGTGTAGCATCTTCCCACTTTCCCCCCTAAGAAAGAATTCCTTAACAGAAGGATTGACCTAGACTGACAAGACCACCTCTGCTTAAGGAGAGGCTCAATGCTGCTGCCATATTAAGATGAGTTAAGACAAGTTGATATATACAGAACTAGAGTAACCTCACTTCTTCCTGTATATACTGAAGCAAGAAAGGGGATGCTCTCAGGTTGTCTACTGGAAAGCTGAAGAAGCCTTGGATTTCCTTTTGATGAAGGTCCATAGTGATAATGTGTGTTAAACCTAAAGGGAAAAAGAAGAGAACAGTTTATGGAAAATATTCCCACGTGGTTGGAGTTCCTTGAATATCTCCATTTTCCAGACTGTTTTAGCTGTTACTCAGACTATTGTGTCATGGCATAAAATAATCATAAACAGATGGATGTAGAAAGTTCCAAGGACATAGAGACAAACAGGCAGGCAGTGTCACAGCACTGGGCTGACACTGTATTTCACTACAACACTTCTAGGCCACTTCCCCAGGTGTGAGTTACAAAGAAACACAAGAAAGCTGAAGAAAATCAATTCCCCTGAAGTGGCTCAAGAGCTCAGCAGCACATCTCCACATCTAATGGGAGAAGAACAGGAGGACAGATGCCCTCTGGATGCCCCTCCCTGTGACACTCACCTGCCTTGGCCAGCATGGAAGCCAGCAGCTTGCAGACTATAGAGCCCCTCTTCCTCATTTTGCTCTGTTTGCTGTAGGGGAAGTAAGGGATGACCCCGATGATGTTCCTGGCACAGGAAGTCTTCAGTGCATACGCCATTATCAGCAGCTCCATGACAGCAGTATTCACATCTCTAGGACATTTGAAAAACAATTCCATGTATTAGCAGGTGTTCTTCCAGTGCAACTCCTTTTCCATTTATACTCAGACCTCTTGTCAAAGTTCCAAGGAAATAATGCTACATCTTAGGCTAATGTATGCAAGACCCAGACTGCAGCCATACAGCTCCTTCCACCACACCACAACACATTACAGTCAACTTTTACATGTACAGAACATGACTCCAGCACTCAAGAGCTGGGGGCTGGAATTTCATTTTATATTCTAACACGAGGTACATGATGATTTCCCTCCATCATCACGCAAAAAAAGGATTTCTTTAAAATTTATCTTGGAACAAATATTACCTGATACAGTGTATTTTGAAATAAAATAGTCTTTTAAAGAAGTAGCACACATGCAGCCAACACAACTTCATCCACACTGGATTTATTAGGGTATTTTTCTTTAACAATGTAAGGCAAGTTATTTTTCCTGCCTTAAGAAATACTGCATTTTGGAGCATACAGATTCCACATGTATCACTTTGGTGAAGTCAGCATCTCCACACTCTCCAGCTTATCTAGAGATGGAAGGAACAACAGCACAGGAAATGCTAAAGGACTGTTTCTTGAAAGAAGAAAAACCCAAAACCAAAAAGCAACATAGGCAGAGGAATCATAGAATATGCTGAGTTGGAAGGGACCCACCAGGATCATCCTGTTGAACTCCTGGCCCCAACAACCCCACCATGTGCCTGAGAATGTTGTCCAAATGCTTCTTGAACTGAGACAGGCTTGGTGCTGTGACCACCACCCTGGGGACCCTGTTCCAGTGCTCAACCACCCTCTGGGTGAAAAACCTTTCCCTGATATCCAATCTACACGTCCCCTGACTCAGCTTCATGCCGTTTCCTCAAGTCCTGTCACTGGTCATGAGACTGAAATATCCCATTTTCAGTTTGCTCCACCATGATGACTGGCATGGCCCAGCAGGAGTGTATTCGTCTGCATTTTAATTCATTTTAGGAAGGGGAAGAAAACCCCAAGCCTCTTTAGTTCCTTAAAACCAACACCAAGAGACACTGTCTGCATGGTCACAGACTGACTCGAGACCATTTGGGAACTGAAGAACACCCCCCCACACACACTTCAGACAGCGGGACAGACAATCCTCCTGCAACACAGACACCCTTGCCTGGGAGTCTGCAGCCTCCAGTGACAAACCACATCCCCAGGCTGGTCAGGAGGGCAATGCTGGGGCTGACTGGGCCATCTCTCCACACAGCAGCAGAGGAATAAACAGCACAGAGCAGCCTAAAGCTCTGCAGAGCTTTTTGGACGTTGCCCAGACATTGCTCAGGACCTGTTTTCCTCCTGAGCACCAGAGACAGCTTCTCCAACTGCTCAGAGACACGACCCGTGACAAACCTCTGACCATTTCCACCTCCCCACCGCTCTCCCTTCCTTTGGAAATTAACCTCCACTTGTGCCTCTTCATTTGTGAGGCTCTGGGTCTCTGTTCTCCCGCTGGCCCCACCACAATGCCATGTACACACAGGAAAGCTTTGTTGGCTCTGCAGCAAGCAGCCAAGAATTACATAAAACACAGCCCCCTGCCACACAGGACAACGAGCAAACAAAGAACTGTTTCTTCCTTTTGGTGTTTTAGCTGTGCCAGTAGGGCCAGGAGAGAAGAAAGAGATGCTACTATCAGTGTCATACAAAAACAAAGTGGTCAAGTTTAAGCCTATTTAAAGTTCATCCAAGAAATGCATTGTTTTTCATCACTATTTTTCAACTTACCCCTTAAAAAAAAACATATATATATATATTCACATGGAAAGCAGATAAAAGAACGAGACTGGGAGAAAGGTTTTAAAAGGCACCTGCAGTCCTGGTGCTGCTGTGGGACTGTGGCAGCCCTATTGAAGTTACTCAAGGAGGAGCAATTTTCTCAGTATTCCAGCAGGATTCCATGCTGGGCTCCAGAAAGCTCCTGCAGACCAGCTGGCACAGGCACTAGGCAGGGGTGAGTGTGTCTGTCACTCCAGCAGGGCCCGGGGTGGGTGGCCTGGGGAAGTTGTTGAGGTGATGCTTCATGCTGAGCCATCACACTGCTCTGCTCCTCTGCAAGGGGCACTGACCCCAACCAAGGGCAATAACAGGGGGAAATAACATCTGTGGTGGAACCCCAGCCAAAGCATCTCCAAAACAGGGACCAGGAGAGCATCACAGCCTCCCTGCTGCCCTCCCCACCTCCTGCCTTGCAGCCATGCTCCCATTTAGTTACTGCTGGGAAGGCTGAGCCAAGACCTCACATGGGGACTGTCAGCTCATTACCAGGACATTTAGAGACAGCTCAGCCATCCCCCTCACCCTACTTACCACCCCTCTCCAGCAGCCTGGAGCCTCCCTTGCTGCTCCCCATCCCTGTCTAGGACATCCCTGGACATTCCTTCTCTGGAGGCTGAGCAAACACCTCATGTGACACTGTCAATGGACTTTGCAACAACCAGCACCAACACTCAGCACTGAAAGGCTCCTTTCACTTTCAGAGTTATCACAAAACCGCCAACTTCTTCATTTTTCTACCACCTAAACATAAGCTACTTGAATTTCCCCTCATACAAATGCCAGTCCACACACCAACAGTCTTGCATGATACCTGTCTTTGTCACCTTTTTGTTGTGCTCTAGGCTTTTAGGACAGGGAGCCTGTAGCAGATATTCAGGTCTCTCTGTTCTCTCCTGCATTTAAGATGCAGACTGTGAATTCACACTGCAGCATAACAAGCCTGTTTCCACTCTCTACTCCTTTCCTACCAAGTCCTAATATTTTGTTTTCTTTTCAAACCACTGCTGAGTGTGGAAGTCCTATTCTTAGATTAGCAAAACAGTTGCTGTTTTGACTTTCCTGAAAAGCTCCCTGAAACCCACTGGAAAACTAAAATGCCCTTGAACCTGTCCTCTCAAGCAATGCAGCAAGGCACAGCTGCAGTTTGGGAATAAAAGATGATTTGACTGCACAACAGTGGCTCCTCACCTAGAGGGCCTTGAACATTTTGGCTAAAAAGGGACCAATTTCTTAGCCCACAATGCCAAATTCAGTTAATGGAAAAACAAGGGGATCGACAAGTTAAAAGCAGGGGAGGTTTTCTCCTCCCAGCACTGTTGCTGTCCCTAATGCTCTGAGTTACCTCTCTGTGAACACTCGACCTGTTTTGTGTTTACACAGCTCTCAGTTACAAGGCATTTCTGAGAACTCCCTCACAAGGGACAACAGAATGGCACCATTCACCAGAAAGGTAATCCTACAGCAGGGCATTTTTGTCTTGTGGAGATTTAGTTGCTCCCTGGGGGAGAAAACACTTGGAGCATCTCTCTGGAAAGAGATGACCCCTAGGAAAATGTTCCTGCCTGCAAGAGGAATTCCAGGAGTAAGCTGACCCAGTAGTCCTACTGATTTCTTTAACAACAGGCCAAGCATTACAAAGAGGAAATGAACTTGAATTCTCAGAGGCCTCTATTCCTTTGGCAAGCAAGGAAAAATTCTGTTTCTAGGCTATTCTGCTACCTGCTTGAGCTCTGCTGCTTATTACTTCTTGGGATCTCCAAAATCTGAGCAGGATTTAGTAACCTGGAAAAAGCTGTCAGAGCAGGAATACTCTTGTTTTGCTAATTGTGCAACAGGCATCCTAACAACACCTTTCCTCTGAAAACAGTGCCTCCCCTACTCATAGTTGGTTGTTTTGCAGTTATCATTTAATGTGTGGGCTCCTTTCCCACCACACCAGTGCTGTATCATTAGTCTCTTCCTCAGCCAGGGAGCAGCAAGGTTCCTGGGGTTACAGCTGGTTTTCTAGCCCCCAGGTTACTTGCAGCACTTCTCTTACTCCAAGACTAGAATAGCTCAAAATAAAAACAAAAAAGGCCCACCATCATCAAGAACTGTAAAAATACCAGAGGGAAGCTGCAGGCTTCCACCTGAGCTAAGTTTCACATCACTACAGTGAAAAGGCAAGAATAATCCAGCCTGTAATTAAAGTAATAGCTGCTGTTTGATGTTGGCTCTGCTGCTTGGTAGTTGAGGAAATCAGCCATCCCAGGATGGAAATGCCAGTCAGAAATCACCAAACAACTGAGCCTGAAAGGCCACCACACACAGAGCAGGAGGGATGTTTCGCTTGCAGCCATCAGTCACACTTGTTCTTGCCTCAAGTGACACACTGGAGCTATTTGATGGGAAGAGCCTCAGCTTGCTGTGGCACAATCGATCCTTGGGGAATGTCAACAGCTTAACACTATGTGGGGTCTTAGATGTGAGACAAAGCAATGACAGCACTGGCAGGAGTTCCACTGGTTATCCTGTGAGCAAACAATCCAACCCTCTGCTGAGCCAGGTACTCACAGCACATCCTGGGTGTAAAACTGAGCCACGAGTCCCTTACCTGGGGATCGTCTGTATGATGAAGATATCCTGTCCCCGGACAGATTCTTTTATTTCAACTCTTGTTTCTGAAAAGGATTGAAAACAGAGTCAGTTTTGTTTCCAAACATCCAGGTTGACAGTGACAACACACCATGTTTTAGCAGCAACCTTGCCCCCTGGTCAGGGCAGATGAGGACTTGCTCCCTTGCCCTTTGTGCACACAGACCCACTAGACACACAGATGAGCTGAGCAGATTTGCCAAAGGCTGGTCCTGGGTAGAGCTGGCACCACATACCAGTGAGTTAGCTGAATTTACAAAGCAAAAGCAGGCTGAATAGCTGTTTCTTATGTTTAGAAGACAATTGCCTAATTCTCAATTAGAGATCCTTTTCACTCCTCCGTGGAGCGGTGAAAGCTGTCAACAGAACATTTGTTAGTGAGCAATGAACCACCCAAGGCAGAACAACCTTCAGGACCTACCAAGAAGGTAACTCAGCTCTTTTGCATTTTGCTCTTTCACAGCTGAGCATGGGATCAGCTCCATGCAGGCTGGACAGCCCAAGGCAACACCAGCAGCACACAGAATTCCCCAGTTTCACTACCAAGGTCCAGACATTTCAACACTGACATGAGCTGGAAGTCTGGGTCTCTGCTGAACACCATTCCTACAGTCCCTGACTCAACTGCAAAAGCTGAGCCCCAAGCAGCTCTGCAAAGCCAAAGCAGGTTTCCCAAGCGCCTGTCTTAGCCACTCATATCCTACACAGTCATGAACTAGAGGGTAGGGATAAGCAAAAGGAGAGAAATAGCTGCACAGCTATGGAATTCAAAGTCTAATTGCCTGGGCACTGGCAGTTACCTGAAGGGACTCAGCAGAGAGCAGACTGATGTGCTGTGCAGTGATGAAGAATGACTTCAGACCTTGTAGCAAGCAACCTGATTTAAAACCAACCCCAAAGGGCAGCGAGCTCTCACGAACATGAACACACCGGCCAACCCAACCATAACCACCCACGGTGTGGCCCATTCTGGCTGCAAGAGCAGCAGCACTATCATAAATTCTCCATCCCTTCCTCCCACCTGCATCAGCTCTCTAGTTCTAGTCTCTCTTGCCAGTAAGGTAATGGAGGTCTTGAAACAGTAAATGACTCTCAGCCAAGGTCCAAGAGGTGTGTTCCCCAGCACAGCCTTGAATTCTCACTCTTTAAAGCAAGAGCACAAGTCCTTGCTAGGGCAGCTGTAACCTGCCTGTGGCAGGGGAGGGCTGGAGGAAGGGGATAATTTAAAAGTTCACAAGGCAGACACTTAGAAAGCAGGGCATTACTTCTAACCCTGGAGCTGTTCTGCTAAGCATAGGAGTCAGTAAGATTTGGCAGCAGCCAACACCTGAGGTAGGGCTCCAAAGGAGAGTTTGCTGATGGGCAGACAAACAAGATAACAGGGGCAAACAAGGAACACATTTAATTGCTTTGTCCAAGGTCAGACACAAAGGTTTAGCACTGCCAGGAGCAGCTGTAACATCACAGCTGAATCACTGCACTTATTAGACAGGTCTGGCTGATGGAGTTACCCAGTATTTCTAAGATTACCTCAAACAGTAAAGATTTCTCTCACCTCCATTGGTTTCCTGGTACACCACAGATTTCCCCAGCTCGGCACCGAGACGCCTGGAGAGAAAAAAAAGGAAATCAAAAATGGAGAAACTCAGCAGTTTGTGATCCAAACCAGGGACTGGACCAGACATTACACACCAGTAAAAACAGTGTTGCCCAGAAGGGAGCTGAGTGAGCCAGCCAGGCTGCTCATCTTCCCCGGGAGCCTCCTTCCCTCTGACATCCCTGGGGAGGGCCCTGGCGCACACCACTCTGCAGCAGGTCACTGCTGTACTCAAAGAGCCAGTCCCTGTACTGACCACAGGCTGTTTCTCCTGCAGGAAAAGGACACCCTGCCAGCCTGTGCAAGGCCACCTTGAGCAGGTTTTGATGTGCAACTGAAGTTGAATGATTTACTCAAACGCAATTAATGGCATCTGAGTCACTCTTTTTTGACTCCCACATCTTTCTCTTTCTTACCTCTCCCCAAGCCTTCCTTCTGAAATAACTCAGCTGACTGAAGAGATTTTAACTTCAAAAATTTATTTTTTTAAATTACTCCTTCCTCTTTCTCAAATGTCAGGTCTACAACACTCATCAAAACAAAGATTAGTCACCCCCCTCTTTTTTTTAAATTTCTTTCTTGCATACTAATGATTCACTTTGAAGAGCATTTTAAAAGGTTCCAGAAGGCAGACTTCTCCCTCAGGTGATGCTTCAGTATTTAACTGTGCTGACAAGTAATTCATTAGTAAGTATTTAAAGGCATTTGTGCTTTAACCATGAGCTTCAGCTGCGAGACTCTGCACCAGTGAGACTTTTGGGACAGATGTGCTGCTCAAACTGGGCAGGATGGAGCAGGTAAATCCCTCCTCTCCTAGGATCTGCTCAGTGGCTTTGCTCACACGCTGGATTAGGCAACAGTTTATGCCTGAAAAATACCTTTGCTCACCACACTGATTACAGCCATAGTTTCCTCTCTGCACACATACTGTATTTACCTGGACACGGGCCAAAATTTGGCATATCAGGACTAACCCTAAATGAAAGTCCACATCCGTTGCTGGCTTTTCCCTGGTTTACAGACTTCTACAGTCAGGCCCTCTATATCTCTGTGCCCAGACTCAGCCTTGTACTTCAGTTGTCACCAAGATTGTTTTTTTTTCAGGATTCACTGAGTGAGGCAGCCTGACCCTGGCGTGCTTCTGTCCCACCAGCTACTGCTGGGCTCAGCCATGAGCCAGAGCTGGAGGTCCCAGCTGGAAGCCGGCCTGGAGAACGTGCCCAGGACAGCTGTGATAACAGACACTCCAATGCTACGGGATGTGTTTGCTTAGCTGGCTCTAAAGCACGTATTTGGCACGATCACACTCCCCATCGTGTGTCTGGCAGCACGTTTTGCAGTGGCTGGGGGTGGTGAGTAAACTCCCACAACTGAGAACTGTACGTGTGAGGCTGTACCCAGCCCGGCTCGGGTACCAACTGCAGCATCACCAGGGCAGGGAAGCCTCCCAAATCCCTAATTTGGCTTCTCTCAGCCTAGCTGGGTTAAAACTTGCAGCTGCAATGCAAAGGAATCCTCAGTACCTTCAGCATCTTCAAAAAAGAGCTGCTCAAGCAAGGCAATCCTGGGCACCTCGGGGACAGACTCACAGTAAAGGTGAGTTTTGCAGGTGGGAGCTCATGCTGCCAGTTGGGATCCTGCTTCCTTCCAATGATAGTCTGGCATTTACAACCACTAAGCTTAGTGCCTTGCTGCCAAGGCATCCAAGTCCAAACAAGCTCAAGAATCACACACACAACACAAGCTGGTGGAGGGGTGCAATGTTTAATGACTCACACTTGCTCCTCCACAACTGCATGGCAAGTCTTGCCTCTGGAGGCACGTGCACCCTGACTGCTCTGCAGACAGCACATTCCAACCTCACTACTGGGGGAAAAAATTCCATTAGTGAGACTGTGCAAGTCTCTCAGTCAGCCCTGAATCTCATGGCAGGAAGGAAAGGTTCAAAACCAGTCCAGCCAGACACATTGCAGCAAAACACCCCCTGGAAAGTGGCACTTTCAGTGCTACGTGGTGGCAAACAAAACCAGCAGATTTGTGGTGCTCAAGGGGAAATGGTCTCAAGTTGCACTAGGGAAGGTTTTAAATGGATATTAGGAAAAACTTCTTCCCTGAAAGGGTTGTCAAGCACTGGCTGCCCAGGGAAGTGGTGGAGTCACCATCCCTGAAGGGATTTAAGAGACATGGAGATGTGGCACTTGGGGACATGGTTTAGTGGTGGCTTTGACAGTCCTGGGTTAACAGTTGGACTCAATTTTAAAGGTTTTTTCCAACTCTATGATTCCATGATGTATCCAGCAAGAAAAAACCAGAGCCCAGTGCTCCCCTATTCAGGCCATACAGCAGCAATGCAGTTTCTGTGCTGCTGAAACAAGAAATCCTAAAGGCAAGTTTGCTGCTCCACAGCAACAGGGACACTGAACAACTCAGCTCCTCAATCCTGGGTGCAGAGAGCAGCAGAAGGGACAGCACAGAGCTGCCACCTTAAAGGAATGGGAAGCACTGGATTGGTCTGGTCAGACAATAAATCCCAACTGTTGCCTAAACAAAAGGGGTGGCAGTGGGAAGGGCAGGAGATAAAACTGCCCATGCCACAGATCAGCCCCACCTGCAGCTCCACAGTCCCATGAGCCCCAGGCACAGCAGGATCCACAGGCAGCTCCCCCAAAGCAGTTCAGGTATGTGCACCCCAGGGGCACACCTTCCACTAAATCCCTTCCTGAAGGCCTCGATTAGCTGAGATATCACTGCTGAAGGAGTCTGATAAACACTGATTTGGCCAAGGACAATTAAGAGGGGACTGTTCAGGCAGCTCCTGTTGTAAAGCACTGAATTCCAGAGCACTTTTATCAAAAGGGAGATTTGCACAGAAGTCAAGGGCAGGGCATGGCCTTACCCACCACATAGCCTGGGAGCAGCCACAGACTTCAAAGATAAACTCCCCCTTCCCACCACCTCTCCCTTTTTTCCCCTCTTCCATCCCAACTCTTTTCTCTCTAAATTCTCTCCATCCAGAAGCTCCCCACTGGTCACTGCTTTAGGGGATGGAGGAATTGAACTGACAGCAAGGACTCTGTTTGCATGTGGCTTCAGGACTAACAGCATAACCACATGAACCTGGGCCACCACACTTGCTGATCACTGTCTGAAGACAGAGGACAAAAAAGGTGCCACTGCAGGTAACCCAGAGCACACAACCCCTGCAGAGACACAGCTGCTCCTGGCAAAAATAACATTTTAGGTCCTGTAGATAAATCACATCTCCAAGCAAAACAAGCTCCCATCCTTGCACCACCTAAAGCAACTCCTCTGGGCATGACAGCATCTAAGAGAAAAACATCTCTTTATGGCTTTAAAAATCCTCCTCAGAGCAATTGGCCACTAAAAATTTATATTGATCTGGAATCTCTCTCTCTGTAAACGCTGCTCAGAAAAGATGATCTAACTTTCCGCAGTCTCCACACATGCCAAGAGGATATTAAGCTGTGGATACAAGAGTGTTTATAAAATCTCACTCAAATTCACATCTAAATGCAAACAGCTCAGAAGTGACCTGTAGTTTAATGAGGAAGTGACACACTGCAGTATTTTAGGAAACACTGTGAGGTGGTATTAGATTGTACTTTAAAATGCTCCTCTAAAGACTGCCAAAAACCACTGTACCAGACTCTGGAGACAAAGGACAGTCAATGAGACTTCACATTCAGCTGAATCAAATATCAAGAGGCAAATGCACTTGCAGTATTTTGTGCCATCAAAACCTGTTTCAGTGCCACTGAGAAAGGCCCTCAGCCCAGTCTGTGTTTCCTCCTCCCCCTGTGTGACCAGCATCCAAGACATTTGTAAGGTTTTCTCCGAAGGAAGCTTCCGGGGGAAATCTCCATACAAAGCCCTTAATTATGGTATGATTTTATTTTGGCAATATCCTCTTCGTTACAAAACACTTTCACTGGTCTCAGCTCTGCAAACACCCAGTTCTCCCCACACCTAAAGACTCCAAGAGCTGCTGCAGACTCCGGAAGGATCTGGAGCAGAGGATCTGTGCCGTGACCAACCGTGGCCAAAGCAAGTCACAGCCTGACTTTGAATTGCTTTTCAAGCTTCTGCAAATCTTTATTTAAAGATCAGTCATGGTCCAGCCAGCACAATGGCAGCTCTGCAGTCTATTTCCTAATCTCCCAGTACTTGAACAGCCAGGAAAGGGAAAGGGAATGGCAGCTTCCTGGACACAAGGCAGTCTGTTCAGATATCCTTAAAACTACCTGAGCTCTCCTTTACCACTCTCCATCCACCCAGCATGACTGGATACTTGAAGAACAGTCCCTACTGCTCATCTGCCACTTGGATCACTTGTTCCAGCCATGCCAAAAGCCATGCAGCCCAACTACTGGCAAATACCAGGCAGATTTTCCTCTCCTCTACCAGCCTGCTCCTTGTGAAGGAAATTCCCCTAAAGCTGGTGCTGGCCAGCACAGAAAGCTCCACACAAGCCAAATCTCCTCAGCTACATTATGTGCTCCCCCTAAGCTGCACAGAGAATCCCAAAGCCCAACTCCTTCATGCTCACCCTACTCCAGCACTGTTCCCCACCTGAACCCTCTCCAACAGTCCTGATTTTTAGCTGGTTATTCTTTTCCCTTTCCAAAATCCTTTGATGCACCTTCACCCCAATATGTATTAGCCTCCTGCCACATCTTTTGAGATGGAAAAGAGTTGGTGTCACCTCTCCTCCTCACACAGCTCCACACTGGAGCTGTTTCCAGAAGGCAAGAACAGGGTTTGGGGATGAGGGAGGGCAGCATCCCAAGGTCTCTGTGCTCTGACTCCCCTCTGCCACCCTCTCATATGCTGGCAAGATGACCTAAAGGGAAGGCTGACATTACTCTTCCTTCATTCTACCAGAAATCCTCCTTCAGCAGAGGGAGGTTGCTGCAAGTCCTCTGGATACTTTCTCACCCAAAAGCAGGGCTCACCTCCTGATCACAGGAAACACCACCCTGGGTTTAGCGTCACCCAGTTCCCTGCAACCAGAGATCAGAACACAGATCCCTGTATTTTCCTCCCTACTCCACGTTGTTTAGGCTCATGGCATTGCTTTATCTTTAGATCACTGGCATTTTCCATGCTGCAAAGCAAATGAATGTCTGGAATACTCACATCCACAGCTGGCAATGACAGTATCACGTTGCCCACCACGGAGCTGCAGGAGCACTGGGGAGGCATTAGCAGCTTCAATCACCAATCACCTCCAACCCAAACACATAAGCAGTGAGCAGAATGTAAAATTTGTGCCCTCTGAGCCAAGCACTGCAGTCAGAGGGAGATCTAAATGCATCTGTTGGACTCTGGAGATCAAAAAGACTTGTCAGACCTCCCTCCCCCCAGTAGCACACAGGCCCATTAGGGATCAGCACTGGTCACAGAAATTATCTTTCTGCCCTGCAGCTCATAATCAGGTGCCAAGTGTCCTAATTACAGCAGGAATTCTTTTTCCATCTGGGAAAGAATTAAAAAAAAATAATCATCCCTCTCAATTTATTAGATACAAATATATGGTTTAATTTATGTTTCAGTGGTGCCAAATCTAAGGAGCATCTTCATTATTTAAAGTTTCACAAGGTATTTGGTTCTTATAATCCAGCACCATCTCCTCTCCCTGGCAGACACTGATATCAACCAAAGCTCTGAAAACCCAAAGTGAAAGTGAGACTGACCATCAGTCACTGTCCCATAACCAGACAAGAATGCTCAATGGGAATTGCAAAGGTCAGAACTGTGCCAGAACATGACACTCAGAACCAGAAACGAAAGCAACTCGGGAAGTTCTGCAGTAAACAGAGTGAGGAGACTGACCTGATTTATGTCCCATTGCTCCTCTCCAGGCTCGAGGTTTTAAAAAAGGATAAGCCTACTCATGTACAGATTTTAAGATTATATCTACAGGCAAAGAGCAACAGAGCCCAGACGGACAGGAGTCTCAAGGGGCCCTACTCCTAATATTGCGTGTTGTTTTAAAGTTCTTTTACTGCTTATACTAAAGGTCATAAAAAAACTTTAAAAAGAACGCACAATATTAGAGGACGAACTCACCCTTATAAGATTGCTCCAACTCTACCTCAAGGTGCAACTGACCTCCCCAGCAAAGTACAGGCTGGGATGTGAGACAGGGGGCAAGGCAGCAGCAACCTGGAAAAACAAGGGATGTATTACAGACGTGTTGAAACAGCCCTTGAGCTCCTGGGGGAGGTCAGTGAAAAAGCATCGTGGAAGATGCTGAAAATACCTTTATTTTTGGGACAGTTTTTACTGTGGGCAAATCTGTGCTGTTAATGGTTCCAGATTTTGCACCCACAACGAAGATACATGTCCTTAAGTCTCAGGTAAGCAGCAGCTGGGCTCTTACCACCTGAGCATCCAACATCCCGCTGTTAGAGCCAAGGTAAAGAGCCCACGTCGCCCCTATTAGGAATTTACGTGGTGAAAGACAGCTGGGAGGCCACTCTGGATTTGGATCCTGCTTCATTCCCCCTCGGAGCATCCCTGGGAGCCCACAGAGGGTAACATCAGCCAGCCGTGTGCG